GCGAAGCACCGCGGCACCGGGCTCGAGGGATCCTGGCGCGCGCTGCAGGCCCAGATCCGCCTCAGCGAACCCGAAGGCGGCTTCACCACCGAGACCATCGACGGGACGCTGGGCGCCATCCGCAAGGAGCTCCTCACCCAGGAGGTCAAGCTTGCGACCAAGGCGGCCGCGGCCAGTCGGGCATCCAAGGCGGGGAGCGGCGATCCTCCGGCCCATTCGAACGGCCCGTCGGGGAAGCGGGGCAAACGCCGCAATCCTCCTCCAACGGCGCGTCCACCTCCGGACGCGTGACCGACTTCCCCTATAATCGCACCCGCGGACGCCTCTCGGCATGGCGGAGGATTGGAGCGCCCTCGCACGTGCTCCGATGGATCCATTCGGGCGTCCCGCTGCCGTGGGGACCGCAGGTTCCTCCCCCGCCCTTCGACCAAGGGGAATACCTGATCCGTTCGGCGGAGGAGCGGGCGGGCTGGACGGCCCTCCGCGAGGAGTATTTGGAGACGGGAGCAATTGTCAAGGTAGCCCCCGGTCCCGATTCGCGCATTTTGCGCGCTTTCCTGGTCGAGAAGGGACGGGAGAACGGGGTTATGAAGTATCGTTTATGTGTTGATCTTCGCCGAGTTAATCGGCATCTCCACAAGATGGGCTTGCGGTATGAAAAACTCCGCGATTTTGGTCATTTGTTGCGGAGGAAGGATTTTTTGGTGGGGTTTGACATCAAGGATGCTTACCACCACTTAAGAATGCGTTTGGAGGATGAATGCTTTTTACAATTTCGAATGGGCGGGGAGGTCTTTGCTTGCCGCGCCCTCCCCTTTGGGCTCTCTTTGGCGCCCTACTTTTTCACTCATTTTATGTTGGTGGTGACTCGTTTTCTTCGCTCCCCGGGTTCATGTGCCAAAGCGGCTCGCAAGTTCCGTTTTGGCCAGCTCGCGGGGAATGATTCGATCTACCGCTATTTTGTGCGGTATACGATCGATGACCCCGCCATTCTTTTGGCCTATTTGGACGACTTTTTGGCAGCCATGAGCGATCCCCACAAATTACGGGAATGGTCCCATTTAGTTAGGGAGATCTTCGGGGCTTTGGGGATTCGCTTCAAGGATCGAAAGTGTCAATGGGACCCCGTCCAGGTCAAGCGGCATCTCGGGGTGGTGATCGACACCACCGCTTGTCGGTTTTTCGTGCCAAGCGACAAGGTGGCCACCATTGCCGCCAAAGCTCGGGTCCTTTGGGCCCGGCGCTGGGTGGTGGCTCGCGATCTGGCCCGTTTCTGTGGGCTGGCCATTTCGGTTTATTTGGCCTTCCCACTTGCTCGTTTTTTTCCTTCAGAGTCTCTACGGGGTGCTGCGGACCAAGCGGTCTTGGAGGGATCGGCTGCGATTGACCCCCCAAGCATGCCTCGATGTGGAGGCGTGGATCCATTTGGATCGTTGTGACGGTCGCCCCCTCAATCCCGACGCCGTGCCCTACGCGGGTACCTTGGCTACGGACGCTTCCTTGACGGGTTGGGGCGCGACTTTCACCCCCCCTCACGCCAATCAACCCCGGTTGGCGCGGGGTTTCTTTGATCGCTCGTTGACGCACATCAATGTGCGTGAATTGCAGGCGGTGGCGCTGGCCATTCGGGCCTTTTTTCCGCCCGCTTCCCCCTCGATTTTGGCACGGCTCCGCCTGCTCGTGGATTCGCAGGTGGTCCTGTTCTGTATCCGCAGCATGGCGACGGGATCCGACCAGCTCCGAGGTCCGCTCCACCAACTGTAGCGGATTTGTTCGGCTCGCCAATTGCTCCTCGACCCGGAGTATATCCCGTCCAAGGAGAATACCATCCCGGATCAACTGTCACAGGTTCGGGGGGGCGAGGATTACCGCCTCCATCCGGCCATCTTCAGGGCCATTACTCGGCGGTTTGGGGCCCGGACCTTCGATCGGTTCGCTTCCCATTGGAATTCCCTTTGCCCCGCCTTCAATTCGCGCCACAACGAGCCCCATTCTTCGGGGGTGGATGCCTTCCTCCAAGACTAGACGGGGGAGGCCAATTGGGCCAATCCGCCGTGGTCGGTCCTTCCGCGCCTTACGGCCTTCCTGCGCCACCACCCGGAGGTGGAGACGGTAGTCCTAGCTCCGGACTGGCCGTCGGCCATGTGGTTCCCTCGACTTCGGCGCTTGGCGTCGGCGGAGATGCTGATTCCTCGCCGCCCGGGCATGTTCACGCTGGGCGATCCCTCGATCCCGGCCAGCCTGCCTCCCCCCCGGTGGAACCTCCGAGCCTTCCACATTCTGCCGCAGACTCGGGTTCCGACTGCGGGGCCGGACCGCCCTCTTCCCGCTCAGGATCGCCGGTCGCCGACCCCCTCCCGGTGGAGGTAATGCCGACGATCACCCGTTGTTTGGGTGTGATGTGGACGGCCTGTCGGCGTCCGATCGGTCGTGGATGCAGGTGCAGTTTCTTTCCTTTTATACAGAGTCGACGCGGCCATCGATGCATCAGAAGTTTGCCCGCTTTGCTGAGTTTTGCGAGGCAAACGACTTGGCCAGCCTACCCGCGCGGCCTTCCTCAATCTACCGCTACATCCGCTTTCTGCGGGAGGAAGGGCGGGTGGGGATCCGCAGTCTTCCCCAGTATTTGGCGGCCATCTCCATGGTCCACCAAGCCATGGGTCACCTGGACTTCTCCGCCTTCGACCCCGTCACCCGGAGGCTTACTCGGGCGTGGAGGCGGCAGGAACCGGAGCCGGCTCATTCGCATCGGCCCGTTCCTACGGAGCTGCTCCGTGCCGTCCTGGACTTTGGCCTGGGGACTCAAGACCTGCGGCTCCTTCGCGCGGCCTGCTCGGCGACGCTCGATTTTCTTTTCTTCAATCGGGCGCAAAGCGGCCATTTGGTTCTCCTCGACGACATCCGCCTGGAGAATGGCCTGTTGATTTTCTGTGAGCGCCGGACCAAGCTCTCGGCGTCAACGGACCCTCGCGTCCGGTGCCGGTCCTGGCCCTCGTCGGGCGCCCCCGCCGTCATCGATCTGTTCCTCCGATGGTCGGCCGCTCGGGACAAGGCCTGGGCGGATGCGGGCGGCTCCTCCCGGCACTTCTACACGCTTCCGGGGGAGCAGGATCCCTCGTCACGGACGGTCTCCGCCTGGTTTCCTCTGCTGCAGCAGGCCCTTCCGTCGCCGCCCCCCGCGCCCTTTGATCATCACGGCCTACGCGGGGGGGGCGCGAGCTCCTGCTACGCCTTGGAGGTGCCGGAGGGACGCATCCGCGCCTGGGGCGAGTGGCGCAGTAACGTTATGTGGAAGTACATTGACGTGTACCGGCTACCGTCCGAGTGGGACTTCCGGCTGTTTGGCTGGATGACGATTACGGCACGAGACTTACACGCCCAATATGGGCACATCTTCTGCCCGGGCGGGGCGTCATCGGCCCGAGAGTGACCAAGGCATGACCACGCCTTCGCTCCGGAGGAGCTGCACCGTGCCCCAGTGTGAGTGGGCACATTTTAAGTGGGTCGCCAATCGGGTCTTGTACTAGTGAGGTGATGGACACCAAACTGTGTGAGTGTAATGTATTGTCGTGTGGGGAACACGGGGGGGGGTTGAAGGAGACCGGTAAGGCAGAAATGGAATTAACTATCCTGTTAATGGGTTTCTGCTAAGGACGCCGATTGGGTGGGCGCGCAACGGCCAGGGCGGGCCGTTCCGCCCTTTGGGACAGTTTGGGCCATCCATCAGCCGGTTTCTGTCACCCCTGTACTCGGGGTCAGTGCTGCCCGACGCACCCAAGGGCGGTGGGGTTGATCCTTGTACCTTGGGCGCAGCCAAGGGGACCGGTCAAGCTGGCCCTTGGGTTTGGCGGGGAGTTTGGCGGCAAGTGGGAGCGGCTATTTTAGGCGCGACCCTTGGCGCCCCCCTTTATCTTGTTTCGCACCCGCCCGGCCCACCCGAATAGTGTGAGTTCGGTTAGCTGTGGGGTGGAGAGGGAGTTGAGTACGAGGAAAGGGGAACTGACTCTGGGTTGAGTCACTATCAGAGTGGCATTAAGTACTATGCGAAGCGAGGGCACATTTTAAGTGGGTCGCCAATCGGGTCTTGTACTAGTGAGGTGATGGACACCAAACTGTGTGAGTGTAATGTATTGTCGTGTGGGGAGCACGGGGGGGGTTGAAGGAGACCGGTAAGGCAGAAACAAGATAGCTAACTTCATGTATGAAGGGATTTGCCACCCTCATCTTGGAATGCAGTGGTCATCACCAACCGAGTCTTTGGCTTTCATTTGCGTTAGCTCTGGTGATCATGCTGTCGTTTTGTGGGTGATGCTGGGCATGGTTTTAACAGCCCCTCAAAACTCCCAACCAGCATGCCACTGCTGAACAGCAGAACAACCCATTTCCCTACCAGTGGTAAGCGGAAGCTGTGCGGCGCAACCAGCTCCAATCAGCAAGACAACGCCCATCATGGCAGCATCACAGGGCCATCACCTTAAGGCGGATACTGACAACGGGTCATGGATACTAATGTTTGTACCCTAGAGGGTTTGAAATATTAGTAGGGAGTGGGGTATGCCAGGTGCAGGTGGTAGTGTCGTCCCTTTGCATATCCATGGCCCAGTGCTAGTTTGGCTTCGGTTCACGGATCCTGCAGACGGATGCAAATACTGGATGAGCATGATTTTGTGGTAGACACATGACACACACAGTCTTCACACTCATCGCAACCTGACTGACAATAAAAACCGCCCACATGCAACGCTCCAACAAAACGACGTAGAGGCACGGTCTCATAATTACACTTGAGAGCTATCTTACATCCTCACACAAGGCACCCATCCTCCATCCACAAACACAACAATCCCGCAGCCGTCCTAATACACAATCCTGCATACACTGCGAGGACAAGGAGCCACATGGCAACCCAAGGGGGTGTACAGAGGCCAGGCGACTCCTTCCCCCTGCCCTCCTCTCTGGCGTAGATGCGCAGCATCGCAAGAATGCCATCCGCTGGGGCGTCACTTGCCAGTGTATGGAGCGATGCTGCTCGCTGACTGTGTCAACTGCGACAGTATATCATTCTCCAGCGTGTTGTACAAATTGACGATCCTCCTGTGAATGCTGTCCTTGCTGTTGATGACGAGCATCCGCAGCTGCATGCTTTTGTTTGCGGGTTTCTGTGCATCCTCCAGGAGGTGTGAGAGGCGCTCCAGCTGCCGGCACACAAAGGACAAAGAGTGAATCGCTTGGCAGGTGCAAGTGCACTGTTTCGCCTCTCAAAAGTATATGGCCTTAAAGGGCACACATGCACACACATGAAAGCTAAAGAGCAACGCAAGGGTGGAGGGCAAAGAGTGACACAACTGCTGGGGCTACAATGGCAATGGTATGTGGGCACTGGTTCATTTTGCCAAGACGCCGAAAATCGCGAGTGAGGTCACCAGCTTCGAGTTGAATAGGTGCCTTCAACAGTATGTATGGGGTGTGTGAGTGCATTGCATGTATGGTACTTGAACAGAGTGGCAGGCTGCCAGGCGGCTGGGGTGGAGAGAGTTGCGCTTTGCGGTTTCAACCTCAGCCACGACGCCTTCACAGGTGCAATTCTTCAAGCGCGGCAATCGACCACACTGGCCATATTGGCCAGTCACAACCAGGCACCCATGACGCGATCAACAGCAACACATGGCATGATATACTTGTGATGTTCCATGGTGCACAGTCCAGCCCATCACATGAAACCTAGCCTTGAGGTGGCGGCCCCCCCAGAAAGGCAAGCGTACCTCTGCTTCTAGCATCTGCTGCTGATCTTCAAACAGTTCCTTGTTCGCCAGGTTCCGTTCCTCGCTGATTTCTGACTTGAACATGTCGTTCCCAAACATGAAGAAAGCAAAGACGTAGCTGCTGGACAGGATCCTGCGAGCTACAAGGACTTGGTCTAGCCCGAACGTTATCCAGCTGTAGTCGTTCAGTTCGTTGTCCGCATTTTCCAAATTTTCCACCGACGTCAAAACATCAGCCCTGGTAACAAGCAAATTAGGCTATGGGTTTGACCGAATTTGAGACGTGCCCTTGATGCATTTTGGGCATTATTGTGGACATGTCGAAATGGTCTGCTCACTAAACAGGACGAAGATATGACCTATGCTGGCAAACGCTCCATAGTAGTGGGTTGTAACAGCAGTGAATAGGCTATCTTTGTGGCCAGGCAGCAGCGACTGACTATATCTGACAGGCTTTCGGCTGAGAGTCCATTTGAGCATGATGCCAAAAATTGTGCACAGATACTATGCTTGAAAGCCTACACTGGAAGCATTGCAAAGTCATCCAGTCTTGCCTGGATCCAACCAGATCCATCCATTCCCTAAAGCAATCCTGCCATGTTTTGGTGTGATATACTCAAACGTTGTCCTTTGCGACTGTGAAGGCCGTCTATAGTTAACAGAACTCATGGTGAGCATCCTTGTCATGCACCAGGTGGTGGTATTCTGCTTGTGTGCATGTTCAAATTTACAGTACCTGTAATTTGCCGCACATCTGTATGGCTTCACTTGTTGCTTGCCTGCTGTAATACTGTGCCATGCATTTGCAATTCACAACAAGTATGCACATTGCACAAATGCAGTCTCTTGCCATCAGCCGTAAAGGACATCCTTGAACACTGTTTGGACACCTGGTGCCAAATGCAGAGACAAGAACCAGCCAGTCTTGCACATGCATTCATGCAAACTTTCTGCAACACATCCAGTATTCCACCATTTTAGCGTGGAAAGTACCCCTCGCACACCTTGCAACATGGTGCCATAGTCAGAAATCCTTGTGTTACCTTGATCCACACCACAAGGTAAGCCCAGGCAAGATGACTAGATGACAATGCGCACAAAATATATCTCCTATTGCTAACAACAGCCATGCCATCTGGTAAGGCATAAAGCTTATCTTTGCCTCACCTCAGCTCGTCTTCTTTGGCCAGGGAGTCCATGTGACCCTTCCATCGCTCGAAATAGTGCATGTACCTCTTATGATTGCGTGAAGCTTCATCTACCTTTTTGTCCATATCATCTTTCCAACGTCCACACTCATGGCCTGATATCCTTGTCCATGTGTGGTCCGTGCCTGTGGCGGAGCCACATAGCCAGCAGAAAGCCTTCAGGCACACAGAACAGTCATATCAGGCCTCACAACAATTCACAAACATATGTCACAAAGCACTAGTCCCAATTCTCAGACAATGCCACGCAAGAGTGAGGTCCAGAGCCAGATGTCACATTGCAGGGGCTGGGTGTGGGCATTGCTTGTTGGCAATGCTTCTGTCGTGAGGGGTATCCTTCCGTTCTTCGTGTCTTTTTCTGTGTTCCCTGACTATCCTGCTATGTTGGCATCCTAGTGGTGAAGCTCTCTGCCAAAAGTGACAATTTCGTAAGCTGAGGTTGACGCCTGTGCACCCTCACCCCTGGCCACTTCCTCAGCTCACAGCACACAGAGGCGAAGCCAAGTGCTTACGAAGTGGGCCCATGCACCCGGTAATGAGACCAAACAATGACTGTGCAGAGGCAAAACACTGATGTTGAACTTCAAAAACTGTAAGGGCCCAGTGACTGCGCACAAGCAGGGCCATACAAAGCAAACGTGACCCGGCGTTGGTGTTAGTCACCAACATTAGCACATTCGGACCACTCAGCGCCATGAACATCCTGAACTAATTGGCAAATACCCACACTACCTGCTCTGGCTTTGGCCACCCTTTCTGATGTGAAAGAGGGGCCACTCAGGCTGCAGTAAGCCCATGCCAACATCTCCATACACAATACAGTTCCGGTTCTGGATCAACTTCCAGCTGTTCATGGCCTTTTGCGGGACCAAACACAGCACAATTTGGAACATCTTCAGTATTTTCGCAATGTTCTTGTTTTCTCCTTCCACTTGCCTGACGTCAGCATTTGGCAAAGGCACAGTGACTTGGCATGCTCTGACAAATCCAATCAGTTCAGAATTCCCCTATTCTGAAGATGTCCTGCGACCATCCGCTTATAGAGGGAGTGAAGTCTGCACCCCATGACACCCATACAGACTGGGATCTCACCTGACCACACCGGCAAACCACCAGGTTGCAGCCCCCATTCTTCTCCACAGGATTCTTGCACTTCGGGCATGGTTTTGTGTGTGCACACAGCCAATTCTTGGTTTCACTATCGTCCTGCGACTTCTGTTTCCAGATCTGAAACATTTCACAGGTGGCTGGGGAGTGCGGCAGGTCGCCGCACTTGAAGCAGAACATCAGACCACAGCAGCACTGGGGCTCACAGTAGTGGTCTCCATCCACCTGGATCGCCCGCCCGCAATGCGGGGCACTTGGACACCACCGTACATTTTGGTTGTCCTCGATGTACGACTCGAGAAGTGCTTGTTGATAGCGCTTGAGGGCTGGCGATGAGTCTGGCAGCAACTCCCCCACCTGCAGCAGGCCACCGTTGCAGTTTCATTGCCCCAGCGATGCGATGCAGCAAAAGAGATGCAGAAATCCCATTGCCAAATGCCGCTGCAGCAGAAATTGCAACCAGGCAGAAGACTGCCTGCAATGCTAAGAAGCTGTGCACCCTGCAACCCAACCATCAGAATTGGAGAAGGCAGACAGCTGGAAGATCGGTTTCCTTGCAGACGGTGTTTCAGTCATGCACAATGTTGGGTGCATGTTTCGATTGTGCACAACAACGGTGTTGCAACCACAGCTGTGGCTCTGCCCCACAGCACCCGAGATGTTCTACAGTGCTTTTCTACCAGAGTAGGCAAATGCAAACAAGTAAGTCCACAGTTCCTTTCACATAGCACATAACAGGAACTTAGTGCACACAACAGTGAATGTACCCAGACACTACAGTGGCTATTGGCAGGGTGCACGTAGTTAACGCTTCAGTGGGAGCCCTGATGGCTTCTGGAGCAAGCAACTTGGGCGCCATGGCGCGGTGCAGGCTGCCGAAGTGGCAGCGAGGGGTGACGGCGATTTGTCAGGAATGGTTGGACGCTTTTGGCTGGGACGCTGTGGTGGCAAAGAGGATTTGTACAGTAGGCCGGCGTGTGAGGTGCTGAGCTTGTGCGTGCTGTGATGCGGAGATGAGATGCTTCGGTTCTGCACCGAGTGCTGGCACAGTGGGCCGGCGCTGGCGGCGAGATCGACCCAGCCGGCTGCGGCAGGCTTCCCGAGGTGAGTGCTGCATCCAGACCCCTTCCCAAGTTTTAACAAACCCAGTTGCTAATCGTGGTTTGCCTGCGTGTGCTAGTTGAGCGATGAGATACGGCTCCCATCGCTTGGAGCATGAAGATGACTTTACCATGACATGCCTTCCGGACGCAACTGTGCTAGTAAGACACCACTGGAAGCAAAGAGCCAAGAGTTTCTGGCGCGACTTGGCTCCCCATACGCTTTCCAAAGTTGCCCGCCCACCCCACTTGAGAAGGCAACCCATCGGTGACCTGGTTTGGCTTCGGAGCAGGCAGATGCGATTCACTCTTCTAGCAGAGTTCTTCACCTCGCTCATGGCGATGGTCCCAATTGCTAATTGGTGTTTCCATGTGGCGGCTACAGCAGGATTCAGTCAACTGGAATGGAGCTTTGGTTTGGAACAGCTTGCCGACCGCGTTCTGCATTCAGTAGGTGGGTGGCCCAATGGCTAGAACTTGACATTAACATCGCCCCAAACGTCCCGATCTGTAAATGCCAAGAAAACGTGAGGAACGCGGACCAAATTTTTGGTGTGCGTGGTGTGGTGCTTGCAGAACTGTGCTCTGCATTTGCAACTTTCTCCGGTTATGGACGGCAGGATTGTGTGCCAGGTGGCGGGAATGGGCGCAAACTGTGGACTGGGTATGACACGCTGCACCCCATGGCGCCGCCACGGCATAGGCCCAAGACGCCATCGAGCACGAGCTTTTGCAGCCCAATAGGCTCTGGGGGTAGTTCTCACGCAGGTGTTGTTGCGAGCGCTTGCACGAAACCGCATGTGGTTTTGAATATGCCACAGGCTGTGCTGGCGTGCCAGCAGAAGTGATCAGACTGCAGCTGGAGGAATTCGCGGAAGATTACATTGTCAAGGGGGACATGTTCCGCACTCCAAAGTCGGGGACAGGCTCTAGCGTGGCGGCTATTGCCATCCATCAGTTGCAGATGTGCGAAATGCTCAACCAGTCCGTGCAACTTCCACTCCTTGCAACAACAAATGTACGTCAAGGATTAATGTGTGAGGTTTGACAACACCAATCTTGACACAAGTGCACTGAAGTTCTAGAAAAGTGCATTCTGTGAAGGGTGCATGGATGCTGGTGTGTGAATTTGCTTCGATGGATTCACAGGTGGCAGAGCTGAGGGACCAGGCTGAGAGGTTGTTGAAAGTCTGCCTGTAGAGCACACCACAACGCTCTGCCTAGCTGTGGTGTGCAAGGAGCATGCTATTTGAAAGAAAGCATGAATGGCCATTTCTTGTGCTTTCCACAATTGTATGAAAAGTGTGAGGGCAGTGGCTTCTCGCAATTAAGAAATTACATTCAACAGATTGTCTCTTTCCACAATGCATCTCAGCATGCGGTGGCAGTGTGCTTGGGCCGGCACCCCAAGTGACGACTTTCTGGGTACTTTATTCATCTGAGAATGAGAACAACTACATCAGTTGTTGTTCAGTATCAATGTATTCATTTTACTTTGCTTCTACTTATGTTGGCTCAATATCATGACTACAACAGTACCCTTCAAGTTTGCAAAGCAGTGCTGCGCTGAGGATAACCGGTTGAGTGATGACTCAAACTGCCAGCTTGGAGTGCGTATAGGAAGTGCAAACCCCACACTCCACACCAGCCCGAGGTTGCCCACACGCAGCCTCACAACGCAGCTCCAACGTGGAGCCCAGGCTTACATACTAGTATTTGTCAGTATGGCTCCAAGGTTGATACAACTTTCCTTGCAATCAGTGGCATGAAACATAACTAGTTTTCTTCCTCTCACAGCCGCCCATCATCAAAAGCACCCATACAATAGCTCAATAATATGCCAACCCAGCACACAGCCACGTACAAAACATACCATTCACACCCTTTCGCTCAGCAACCAGATTGGGGTATGGGCTACTGCAACATGGACTTTCCACCATCGCCAAAAACATAATAGCGAGGGAAACAAATGAAGAGAAGACTCAAGTTTTCAACGCCAATACACCATTGCATTCCTGACTATTCAGATCATTCATTTCAGGCGAAAATTTGCAAATACTTCCAAACCAAAGTGAATAGTAAAATAGGGGCATCATTACTTACAAATGCACCAAAGCGCACCAAAAACATCATGGTAATGCCAAAGAGAGGGTTGAACCGACAGTTTGGTGGTGGGGTCTAGAGTGGGGGCCATGAGAGGTCCCTTGTAACATCCTGCAGACAACGGTTTTGATCAGGCTCCATTCACAACAACTGTCATTTGCCCCCAAGCTTCCAGCATTCACATATTCCATGGGGCTCCCACTGCCAAGCAGCCCGTGCTGCACGTGCTACACAATCTTATTGCACCTCACCAGCTGTGCAGACATGGATGAGGTCCGAGAACAAGTAAAAGCTGACAATGTGAAGACAAGGGGGAATCTGTTGCGTGGGATATCATATCCATGTACCTTTCCTTCATCACAAATCGCTCCACACCTGAAGGCCATGCATCTTAGCCGTCGAGAATTGCCATCACTGATTTGCACATCAAAGTACTGTTGCCAGCATGAATTGCAGAAAATGTGCCCACATTCCATCGATGTGCACTCATTCCTTGCCACGGAACAGAGACAGCTCCCACAGTCCACCTCAGCCATGCTTGCTGCCAGAACCACCACCACAATACATCGCATCAGCACAGCACCTGCCGATGTGCAGAATATCAAACAGGCAGCAGGGGCAACAGCAAGCTCCAGGAAATATGTTCCACAGGGTGCACAACACATAAGACACAAACCACAGTATATACGAAAATGCTCCTAAAACTGGAAAGACTACCAAACCCCTGTAACTACACAGCCCGAATCAAAATGTTCACCAAGGTCTGGCAATGTACAGGTGTACATTGCGGTAAATGCCCATGAGATGTAGCTGAAGACATAACAAATGGGCTGTGAAACACCAACAAGCTCCATTGAATGGCACTCCTTCTGCTGGCACAGCACAGGCTGCTTGCCACACAGGAATAAGGCAATGAAACAGCCTGAGACCCCATAAGCACCACAATGTGTGTCTGCTGCCGCTGCTGCATTTCTTACAAGCAGTGTACCACAAAGAGCATCACAACACACCATTCTCCATTTAGGACAAATTGTTCTGTGCAAACTTTTCAGGCTGACATGACAACAGCTACTATCTTGCCCATTCCCTATGGATAACTGCCAGGCATCGCTCACTGTGCTGCCATGCACTTTCTCTCACCCTTGGAAATGCATGTCCTGCCCTAATAAGTACAAAATAGCCGTAACCATATGTTGGCATTGGAGGGGCTTTTCCAACAACATTACACGTCCTCCTCCTTTTGAGGATCGTTCCCCCCAGATGACGGACCTGCATGCCTGGGCCTCTTGTTCTTACCGCTGGGGTCCTCCAACTCCACTGCTGAGGTCACCCCCGCAGCACGATACACAACTTCCTGACCCTTATCTGCCACAGTGCCTGTTGCAGGACACAGAAGCCCAGAGTGACCACAGAGAGTGCTCGCATTTCACTTGTTAGCTGCTGCTAAAGTTGAACTTTTACCTGCAGCGACCAGACAGCCTGTTCCAATCGAGGAAATGACACAATGGGCCTTCTGCATCTTGCTTGCCATACTGGGCAAAAGCCACACAAACAAGCAAGTTTCAACAGCATGATGCAACAGCACTATTTTGCACACGCCTACAAAGGGTGGCATCCCTAAGCTGGTCCACCAGCAGTTGCACTGCATGGGACATCATCAACGCACTTGACAAGTGTCATGCAAACTCCAGGAACTATCAACTGGATATGTCTCAGTCGTGATGTCATACCCACAGGCACATTGCACATGTGGTAATAATGCAACTGGAATCCGTGACACAGGAAGGGGGCAGTTCCCAGCAATGGTCGATGAAGGTCATTTTGTTCTGTGCTTGGGAACGACAACAGGTGGCATTCTCAACACACACTTGCAACTTGGAAGCGTTGCAACTGCTGGCATGAGTTCTCATATTCATATTGGCGCATACCATGGGGAGCTATGCTGTTTGACACACTGCAGACTTTGGATTCGGAGCTGAACATGTGCTGCAAACTAAACTCTGAAATTGTATCTAGGCATTCCATCCAATCGCTGCTGGATCGCCTGCCAACAGAATCCACACCAAAAAGCGCATTCTTCACTGCCCACATTCACAAGAGCTCACATGAGCACAGGCAGCTGCCCTGGTGGAGACACATTCAACATTGTCCCATGTTCACTCACACATCAGTGACTCTTTGTCCCAGCGGAAGTGCACAAGAAGCTTCCTTGCTGTGGATCGGGAGCATCCCATGATACCAGAGACAGCTTCAAGGGCACCATTCTGCAGGCATGCACACCTTGTCAGAGTGTGAGCATGTTCCTCAGACTTGCAGGCATCCAGGATCAGCCAGGATCAGCGTGACACACAGGCAAGGCTGGCCATGGCCGTTCCCACAACTAGTGCGATGTTTGAGGAGCCAGACTGCACTGCATGCCGACAGCGACTGAGAATGACCGTCCGCAATTGCCAGTCCATGACTAGGCTTTGCATCCAAGCTGGAATGCCTGTTTGTAAGCACCCGTTGTTACGACAACCTATCACAAATCTGAGTGTGGTCGCCATCCTGAGAAATCAACCATTCAAGTATTATTGTCAACATCTTGGCAGTGATTTCCAAGCCAAAGGTTCACAAGTTGCAAGGACAACAGCCTGTGGGCCATGCGCCTGCGTAAGCCACAGCGAAAAGTACAGCCACTGCCAAGGACTATAGGCAGAGGTGTTCTGGCAACGATGAGCCCAGGGCCAACACCCCACACTATGCATCTGTCCATCGTGGAGTTTCTTGCGGTGCTCTCTGTCATGAGGCGCACGACTGCCGCAATCACGCTTTCCCAGGCGTTCCACTCTGCGGCTCCTGTCAGTCACCGCAGCCCTGATCTCAGTCAATGGCCCCAGCCCCATCTCATGCAACCCCACGGCAACCAAGCCCCCTACAACACAAATTCTACAAGCGCCCCACCTGCAGCTTGGCGAGGGTGCACTGGTCGATCACCGTCCATTCTTGCTTCCTGGAGCTGCTGGCCTCCGGCTGTGTGTCTTCCCCGAGGTAGTCGTTTCCGGAGTCCACTTGGTACAGCTGGTCCGACTCGTCGTCCTCATCGTCGTCGTAGTAATCAGAGCACAGGTCCGAGTCGTCGGCCATGGCCGCCAGGCCCTGTTGCACCCACGGCAGGCGCGCACTGAGTTGCCCGCGGCAGGCCGAGGCGGTCGCGAGGAAGGCGACGGCAGCGGGAAAGTCGAAGCTGGATTGAAGGGGGGTGGTGCTTGGGAACAGCAGAACGGGGAGGGAGGCGGCCGTGTGTGGTGCTGCCTGTGGCGCTGCAGCCCCGCGCCTTGTCTAGCGTGGAATATACGGCCTGGCTTGCGGCTCGACAACGGCAGTCGCCAGTTTATCGCGGCGAAGACAGTTGCGGGATGGATGCTCGCGTCCAATTTGCTGCGGATTTTCTTCTCGAAGTCGGTCCCTGACGAGGGCGCACAAGCGTCCGCGACAGAAACGGCCGGCGGCAGCGCAGGCGGTCGAAAGAGGACGGCCCGTGAACATGCGCGTGACTGCTCCAAGGCGAGGTGGCCGCGAGCGCGCTGAATGGAAACCGTTGCATCCGTTCCACGGCACATTGAATCGCTGCAGCCATGGGCGCGAGAAGCCTGCAGCGCCGGAAGCCACCCACCGGCGACGGACACGAGATAATTGTCCTTTGCGAGCCAGACAGCAGCGTTCCCCGCGCTGGCGGCGAATCTGCGGATGGCAGGAGAGGATATCGGGGGCAGATCGACACGCATGCCCGATGGCGGAATCCATCGGGTCGCAATCACATCGCGGGCCCGCCCAGAGGCCGCCGGCCGCAATTTCGACGACAGCCCGCGTCGGAGACGGCACGGGCCCGTGCAGCCCCCCGCCCAAGGCGTGGTGCGCTCCTCCCGATCATCTGCCGGCGCATCGATTGGGCTCCCGGCGGCGGGTGCCCCGCGCCAAACCCCGCGGAGCGCGATCCCCGAGAGCTGCTTTGGGGGGGGGGGGGAGTCGGGGCGCACCTGGGCAGCCACGGGTCTCGCCCGTGGGGCCCCCTTCTCCGCTGCCTGGCACGGTGCTTCGGTGTTTGCCACCAGTGAAGACCTGCTGTTCGGGCCAGCGCCCTGTGAGCACACCTTCCCGACTCGCTGAGTATTGCTCGGTGCGCCGGTTCCGCTCGCGTCGCCGCAGCCGCTTCAGCCTCGACGCACGGAGGAAGGGCGAGCGGGGGCGCGCGTGTGTGTTCGACCTTCGGCACTGCGCTGCCAGCGGTGGGCAATCCGGGTCCAGAACTGGCGCTTCCGATTGGGCGCCATTGTATACTAGTCCGCAATGAGAACAGTCGTAATGGTGCGTAATGCGGCTTGGAAGTTGGGGCGGGACAGCCACCGGTGCCAAGTTCCGGCGAAAGTCTTCGAAGTTGGAGGCCTGCGGCGTGGGCGCGGTTGCCACCTGTCGAAGCGGTGGGTTGCCGGGAGCGCCAGTCTGCTCACTCGCGACGCACTGCACAGTGCACCCTGCGGCCTTTTGTGGCAGCACCAACCGTGCCGGTTGCAGCCGTGTGGGTGCATTTGGGCACGGCAAGGCGTAAATGTACTGATCCTGCCCGCGAGGGTTGACGTTAAAGACCGAACATCTTGCACGAAGCGACCGTGTCTTTGTTCGGAGCGTTCCCTTGGCAAGGCTGTTGCAATTCAAACACTCTGCAAGCAAGCAGAGAAGGCATGTTCTCCCGCAATAGCATATGCTGCTCCCAAAGTCGTGCTGAGCACGAGATGAAAGGGTTAGGAAGTATCCCCAACAGCATTGGGCGGCCATCGTCAAGGCGGCAAAGATAGGTTCACAACTCTGCTGGATCCCCTTCAGCATTTACCAACCCGGAGTGCTCCACTGAACGGAAAGGCATTGACAATCAATTGTCGAGGGCTGTGCAAATGTCGCGAGTGAGCGTTGCCCGCGGGTAACAGGGAACGGCCAATCCCTGTTCTGGTTGTTGCTCCTCAGTCCATCACTTCCAAATCGTGTTTGAACTGCGAAACAACTGCGCCCCCCACCCTGTGTGCCACTGCGAGTGCCAGATGCGTGGATTGTGGCCTGTACAATTCTCCTGGCTTGAATGGACTAACCCTGTGGCTCGATTAATTTGCTGGCCCGTTGTAGGACGCCTTTGTTGGGAAGGTGGCGGCTGCGCCCCATCCCAAAGCTCCAGCGACTGTAGAGTTCCGCAGAACTCGGGGTGTTGGCCGATAGTGTTGGCCGCGTGTGACACATCCCATGTTGGCCTCCGGTTGGCACTACTCACCGAAACGAGATCCCCGTTGCAGATGGCATGGCGGCATTGCAGGGCTGCGACTTTCGGGAAGTGAGTCACCCACCACCAAGGCAACCACCTCTGGCGAGCACAGTGGTGCTTGGGAGGTCACACAATCCTTCCAAGAGAAAATTGCAAAACTACGAGGGAGATATACAGACAAGCAGGCATGCATTTGCAAAATCTCAGATTCATCAGCCTGCAATGTGTAAAATGTCTGGTGACACATGCCAGATATCGGTACCCATTGAAACCTGGTAGTGTGTGTTTCAGAGGCGTGTTGGTCCAATAGTGCCTATCCGATGGAATTCTGGTCTACCCCGGCACTCACTGTTATCCGATGAGGCACGCCAGTTCTGCTCCGCAATCGTCGTTGTCGAAATGAGTTTCAGTGGACATCATGTCTGGACAAATCAGCCAATCCGTGCACCGTAAATTATTCACACCACTCTCCCCAACTCCATGGATACGCATGTACGGTACAAGTTCATGGATACGGTGCAAGCAACCTCAGTGAGTCAGCCTTCAGAGCCCAAGAGCCCACACCATTGTGTCGTCAGCCGTCAGCGCACCCGCGGCCTCCACAACCGCCCCGGTGTACTTGCCCCCCCCTCGAAGCGTTATTCCGTAACCGCGCCCCGGATGATGTATCGTAGAGCGCCCCTTTTCTTCAGGGTGGTGATGCGAGATCCCGGGGGCGGGAGATCGGTGCGCATTTGGGCGCGTCCGACAGCGCCCCTGGGCTGCGCTGCTGGCGACCGGCCGCGGGGCCAGGCGGCTGCCCACCATGGAGGCGCGCACCGCACCCCTCACCTTCCCGCCGCTGCTGCGCTTCCCTTACGGGCGGGTCCCGCTGCTGCGATCCCCGAGGCGGAAGAGCGGGGGGCGGGGGCGATGCGCTGCGCGGCAAACCGGGGGCGACCCGCAGCAGGACGACAACGGCGCACGTGAGTCGATCGCTTGGTTCGGCATCGCAGGGCGGGCTGGGCTTTAATGTGGCGAGGAGATTGCCGGGGGCGGGATACCGTCATGGCCGCTGCGTCGGCAGTGTCGAGGCGATCAGTGGCTGTGCTGTGGGCCCGGGCAGCGGCGCGGCCCCGGCCGCTGGGCTCCCCGCGGGGTTTTCGCGGAGCGCATTGGGCTGCGAATGGGGCGGGATCAGTTTTCGAGCGCTGCCGAGGGGGCCCTGTTGTGATTAATTAGCCGGGTTGATCTCGGGGCATTGCGCGGTGCCGCGCAATGGGGAGAAGGGGACGCGGGCAATCAGGATCCGGACCAGATCAGTTGGACCTGCGGTTTCTATTGCGTTATGAAGAGTGCGTCGATCCACGTTCGCGTCTGCCGGCATCGGCATGCTGTCGGAACGGGTTGAGGGTTCAGATTCCAATCCCTCAGAATTGACATGGTCGGGGGGTTGCTGTGGGTGTGCGCGCACGGTTCGCACGTCCAGAAATCGGCTGTGCTGGGATCTAGCGATATGACGGGCTGGCAATCGATATAGCCTGAAGTCATGGTGTGATTTTTTTTTGCGGTGCATTCAGCCCCTGGATTGAAGGACTCGTTACGGAAGGGAGTCGGCAAGCTCGGCACGTTCGTCGATGGTCTCAAGGCGCAAAATGTGAAAATAAGTGCCTCAGGCAGTCGCCTGACTAAGAGCTTGGAGGAGGACATCCAGGGCGGGTACTTCGCGGGAGGGAGCACCAACATGAGGGCATTCGATAGCAATTGCGTGTTTGAGGATGCGAATGGGTGCTACGAGGGGGTTGCGGAATACAGAGAAAACTGTGCCAGTCTGGGAAAGGTCATGAAGGATGTGGAGGTCGAGGTGCTGGGCTGGAGGGAAGAAGATGACACACTCACGGCTGTTTGGCAGCTCACCTGCAAGCTGGATGGCCCGCTGACTCCTACCTTTGAGTCCAGGGGAGAGACGACATACACAACAAGCGGGGTATGCACAGTTTCTCTGGCAGCTGTCAGAGTCATGATGCAGCGCTGGCTCAGGGGATCCGGCAGCACCTTTCCATGGTCATAGAGGCTTTTATTGCTTGAATTTATTGTCATGGCGCTGTTCAACTTGTATTCCATTTACAGATGTACACTTGCACACACTAGCACAGTTAATGCAGTACGATAATGTTGTGTGTTGCTTTGCTCCAAATTCCCAATCCTAAATGCTGTGTGTCTTGTGTCATGATATCAGCAGCATATCGTAAGCTGCATTTTCCCCCTCAAGGTGGTGGCTGTGTAGCCTGGAGATAGTCCATCCTGAAATTTTGTCCCTGTTCTGCAGGGCAGGGTGGTGAAGCATGTTGAGGCATGGAGTACAGTCGTCCCACGTACTCCGTTGGAGATCACTCTTTATGGCCTGTCAGATGGGCGACCAGATTGGCTCTGTTCTGGAGTGTCAAGATTTGTCATCCTGTCATCGTCTGTTGTTGTGTTTTCATCCCTGCTCACAACGTCTGTGACAGGGGAAGGACTGCAGGTGAGGCAGCTGCAGTATGCAGTAATAGTTGTTGTTGTTGTTGTTGTTGTATTATTTCCTTAATTGCATGGCTTTCACTGAGCCCAACTCCACTCCCAGCAGCATAAACATGATGTCAACAGCCTGAGCCATCTTTTGGCAATGCAGGTCAGCAGCAAGAATAAAGAATGGCTCTCCATCTAGAGCAAGGTTCATGTATAGAGGTGGCTGCTGACTGGGAGCAATGGAGTCATCAAAATGTAGCATCTAATGTCAGCATGTAGCATCAACAGGAATGTATCAGACGTCCCCATGTCCCAAAAGTCCAAAATCCCAAAGTCCCAAAAGTCCAAAGATCCCGGAGCTCCACAGGTCTAAAAGTCTCAGAGTCTCGAGAAGAAACATCCCAGAGTGCAGAAATGTACAGCCGTAAAAGCCTCAAAGTCTCTAACGAGCCCGGCATGCAGTGTTGTCGTCAGGTTCATTGAACATCCAACCCCATGTGGATTAGTATCCATAAGAAGAGGTGCTGGAAACATCCCCGTTGAGCCCGTTGGGCAATGGTAGTGTAGCCTGGTAGCTAGCAGCAGCAGTGAATTGTAGTAACAACACTCTGTCTTGTGTCACATTGTGGATAGCACTGGTGTGCCACTGGTAGAAGCAGAAACGCTTGCCACATTGCACAAACAAAGACAGGCCCCCTGTTGCTCTTGTGTTCAAATTTGTGGGGGTTTGTCTGAAACTGCGAAATTGTGCACATGTAAACTTTGCACACATGAATTCAGTTTATTGCATTTTAAGATTGTGTGATAAAAGAAATAGAAAAATAACCCAACAATGCTCATGCAACTTGAAGTTTATGAGCAAGGGCACAACAACATCCAACTGACATGTGATTGCTTGGAGTCAACAATTTGCACTGCCTACCCCACACTTTTGGACAGTTTGCAAAATTTCCTCTTTGACACGCTGTTTGGGCAATCAGCACATGTGCACACCTGCTGTACAAGACATTTGCTTTGTGGTATCCGCAGTCTCCAACTTGGCATTGCCATATACTTCCAAGCTTCCAGTTCCCTGGGAGTGCCTTTCTGATGGATTGGCACACTGTTTCAGCTTGCCCAGTTCTGATATGTTGTTGCCACACTGATAAGCTGACAGGACTTTGGTGTTCCCTGATTATAAAAGTTCCTAGAAAATGCAGTGCTGTTGTTGGCACAATTTGGGCAATATCATCCATGTCAATGATTGCATCCAGTCTGTGTGTACCAGTCAAGTGGACTTCTCAAGTTGGCAGCTCAATAGCTTGCTGTTGGCAGTGGGTGTAGAACTATTGCAAAAATTTGGCCCCGTATAAATGAAATACCTCCAATGATGTTTGTGTTGCAGGAAATGCTTAAGAGCTGCCAGTGGTGTATTCATGCATGATTGTTATGCTGTGTGTTCAGAGATTCCAAAGATTGTTGTTTGACAAAATCGGTCAATATTGTTGAACTCCATGAAGGAGGCATCAGACATTTCCTCCTGGCAGTATTGCAATGAGTGATATGCAAACAAAACTGTGCTTTGGGGCACCATGTAACAACAGGGTTATTTGATAAGTGTTCTGGTGCATGGTTTGTTTTAGCTCTTGGTGTTCAGACTGTCCTTTGGTACAAGGACACTCTATTGAACAGACCTCGGGATGCTATCTGTGTTTTAAGAAGATTCTCAATTGTGGCATCCTTGTTCCTAGTTGCATGTGACGATTTTCATCTGGCAGTTCTGCCACCACAGTGCTGTTATCTCTATTTATGCACCAGTAATCCAAGCCAAGAAAAAAGCGGATAGCAGTCACGCTTGTATGACACTTTTGCATGATATATTGTATCTGTGGACATGCATAGACCAAGCAGGAATATGTTGTGAATGTGCTTCCTCGATGGTAAGGTTCTCAAGGACTGTGATGATTGTCAGACACTTTCCGGTTTTTGCTGCATAGTACGTGCGGTTTGTGTTCAAAAATTGATGTTGAAAGTCTGTTGTTCCAGGGTGATTTCCTTGGCTCTGTGGAGGGAGTGTCTTACTTGGGATTCATTACATCTTTACTGTTCGAGCTGTCGAGGGGTGGGTCGAAAAAGCGCAAACTCAGTGCTGAGGATGCCCTTCTCTACGCACCAGCGGAACGAGCCGAAGGTGCAGCAGCTGAGGCCAGGAAGGCTGCAAGGCTGGCCACAACCGCCGCAGCAAAGTGCACCTCGGGTGCAGGCATGGTGACTGGTGCCCTAGAGGCAGCTTCTCCTGCGCTGAGGAACAGCCCTGTTGGTCAGGAAGCCAGTGCTGCTGCCGAAGAAGCCACTGCTGCAGCAGTGGAAGCCAATGAGGCATCCGTTGTGGCTGGTGAGGCTGCTGATATAGCCAGTGCTGCTGCCACCCAGGCTAGAGCAGATGCAGATGAGGCAAGCGATGCTAGGGTCAAGTGCGATGATCTCACTAGAAGCGGAGCTCAAGAAGAAGAGCTCAATGCTGCCAGGGAGGCAGCAAGCCAGGCTGAGCTGAAGGCCAGTGGGTCAGGGGATGAGGCCAATGGTGCTGCTGATGAAGCAAATGCCGCTGCCCTTGCTGCCACCTCAGCTGCAGACAAGGCCACCGCTGCTGGTGGGAAGGCCATCTCTGCTGCCGATAAGCTCAAGGCAGCATGTGGGGCCAGCGTTGTCCCAGAAGCTCAAGAAAGTGCAGATACATTGAGTGCTGCTGGGGAGAAGGCCGGCCTTGCTGCCCTTGCTGCTTGTGATGGTGCTGACATTGCCAGTGCTGCTGCAAAAAAAGCAAACAATGCAGCAGAGAAGGCTGCTGCTGCTGCGGTGGATGCCAGGGCTGGTGCGGACACTGTCACAGCTGCCCTGAACAACAGCCCTGCTGCACAGAAGACCAGCGCCGCTGGACGTAAGGCCAAATCTGCTGCTGAAAAGGCTCTCAGTCTTGCACAAGGAGCAGAGGCTGCTGCAGACAAAGCACGTGCTGCTGCAGGAAAGACCAGCACTGTTGCTGCTGATGCAGTTGCTGCAGGCGACACTGCCAATGCCGCCAAACAGAATTGTTCTACTCTTGGAGGGGATGCGAGTTCTGAAGCACGGAATGCTGCAGTTGAGAAGGAAAACCAGCTATCAAGCAACCTGGGGAACTGTGGCGCGAAACGCGGGCGGGGGCTGCTGGCTGCTGCGAAATAACGCTGGGTGGCTACGGCTACAGGCAAATGCCTGCAAGGCTGCTGCTGCCCAGATTGCCAAGACTGCTGCTGATAAGATTGCGGCCAGGCAAGCTGCGGCTATTATATCAAAACTGCAGCTAGCTGGGAGCTGCCGCTGCTCGCTAAAACTGCTGAGCGGACGGCGGCTGCTTTCAAAGCTGCTGCTGATAAAGCGGCTGCTGCAAGGGCTGCTGCCCGCAAGCGGGCAGCTGACAAGGCGGCTGCTGCTAGGGCTGCTGCCCTGAAGGCTGCTGCAGACAAAGCTGCTGTGGCAAAAAGAGCTGCTGACAAAGCTGCTGCAGCCGCTGCTGCAGCCCTTAGAGCTGCTTTGAAGGAAGCTGCTGCTGCAAAGGCTGCAGCAGACAAGGTTGCTGCTGAAAAAGCTGCTGCTGCAAAGGCTGCTGTGAAGGCTGCTGCAGACAAGGCTGCAGCTGATAAAGCTGCTGCTCTCAAGGCTGCTGCTGACAGAGCTGCCGCCCTCAAGGCTGCTGCTGACAAGAGGGCTGCTGAAAGAGCTGCTGCTGCCAAGGCCGCTGCTTTGAAAGCTGCCGCTGACAGGGCAGCTGCTGAAAAGGCTGCTGCAGAAAGGAGGGCTGCAATTGAGAAGGCTGCTGCTGACCGGAAGGCTGCAGCAGAGGCTGCTGCTTTGAAGGCTGCTGCTGACAGGGCTGCTGCTCAAAAAGCTGCAGAAGAGAGGGCTGCTGCCCTGAAGAGGGCAGCAGATGAGGCTGCTGCTAAAAGGGCTGCAGATGCCAAGGAAGCAGCACTGAAAGCAGCTGCTGATAAAGCCGCAGCTGAGGAGGCTGCTGCTGCCAAGGCTGCTGCACTAAAGGCTGCTGCAGACAAAGCTGCTGCTGCTAAAGTCGCAGCTGCAGAAGCAGCTGCGAAGAAGGCTGCTGCAGATAAGGCTGCTGCTGACAGGGCAGATGCCATTAGCAAGGCCACTGCAGTGCAGGACGAAGCCGATGTTTCATGCAATGGGTGCAGGCGAGCTGCTGATGC